CCTCCAGTAAAGCTGGCATTCCTTCCCCGAGGCAAGCAGGGCTGAGGCTGAGGGTGGAGCTTGGGGCAGGAAGGTGACTCAGCCAGCCTTAGCCAGAGAGGATACAGAGGCTGTAATCCTGGGTTTTGTTTTGATTTTTTTTTTTTTAGAATGATGGAGGAACATACTGGTTCTTCCTGATTATAAAGTAGCAATGTGTGTAGGAAGGAATTGTTGTAATAGGAGCAGCTGGCTGCTTCCTGCCACCTGGCTAGCTTTACCCGAAATAATTACAAGGAAACTGTGTTCTTTTAAACACTGCTTGTCCCATTAGTTTCAACCTCTTATTGGCTAGCTCTTACATATTGATGTAACCCATTTCTAATAATCTATGTAGCCCACGAGGTGGCTTACCAGGGAAGAACTTAACCTGCAGCTGTGTAGGGTGGGTGAATCATGGCGACTGCCTGACTCGGCTTCTTTCTCCCAGCATTCTGTTCTGTCTACTCCGCCTACCTAATTTTCTGTCAATTTAGGGCCAAGCAGTTTTCTTTATTAATTAACCAGTGAAAGCAACAGATAAATACAAGACCCACCTCCATCATTTCCCCTTTTTCTGTTTAATAAATGCTGAGATTTGAGGAAAAACAGCAAAACCAAAGCAGATATTCCTACCCTTTCCCTTAAAGATGGTATGCTGTGCATATCAACTTCTAAAGAATGGCAGTTGCCACCTGGCTCTTGAAGAAGAGACTATCATCTGTTGACAGTCTGTACACATGTATTTGTTCAGCATGCCAGCACAGGCAGAACTGCGCAGCATAGACAGGTTTTGTGGTGGGTTTGTTTGAGTGGAAAGATAGTGAAAGTTATTGTGCAAAACACAAACATCAGAGTCAGGCATGGTGGAGTACATCTGTTAGCTCAGCACTGGGGAGGCTGAGATTAGAGGGTTGGAATAACCTGGCCTACATAGACAAGGGCTGGAGTTGAAGCCCAGTGGTAGAGTGCCTGCTTCAAGTGCACAGGACTTGAATTTAGTTCTTAGCACTGCAAACACAGTGGGACTGTCAAATGCAGATTTGTGTGGTTAACTCACAGTTCCTTCATCTACACTCTTGGGTGGTGTTTGCCTCCCTCTTAGAGTTTCCTATTCAAATGGTTCTTCCCAACTCTCTGAATTACCCTTCTCTTCACACTGCCTCCTCCAGCACTGGTTCTAGCCTCTGGTTCATTTTGTCTCCTTCTCTGGAGTCCAAGAAGGGCTCTGCTGGCTTTGTCCCCTGCTGCTTCTGCCTGACACAGGGTGCGCCCTCCAGAAAGAGACAGAGAGACAGAGAGACAGAGAGACAGTGAGAGGGAGGGAGGAAGGGAGGAAGAGAAGGAGAGAGAGAGAGATATTGTGTATGTGTGGTGTGTGTGTGTCCCCAAAACTATTGGACCTGAGCAATGCCACCGGGTCCCAAGATCCAAGCTACCTCTAGTCTCTACAGGGCTGTGACAGTTTCCTTCATGGTGCTGATGGGGTCAGGTCTCTGCTTTGCTCATAGACACGGATTCTGGTCACCCATGGCATCAGCTCCCTGCCCCAAGTGGATGTCATCATTGTTATGAGTGGCGGCAAGATATCAGAGATGGGTTCCTACCAGGAGCTGCTAGACCGGGATGGGGCCTTCGCCGAGTTCCTGCGCACCTATGCCAGTGCTGAGCAGGACCTGGCCTCAGAGGATGACCGTAAGGATGGCAGGGGGACTTTCAGGAACTGACTCTGATCATCATAGCTGCTTATGGGAGGGTTTATCTGTGCCCTGGGGGTGCAGTTCATGAGAGTATTGGGTGACAAGCACATTGATTGGGCTTTGGGAGACCAACAAATAGATAAACCTGCTTAACCTTGCAGGTCAGGTAGAAAGGGTTCTCAGCGCTTGACACCCAGGTACACAGGGTTGGGCTTTGGCTTTGTGAACTCAAGATTAGTCTCTGTCCTTCCTGTAAAATACTTTCTCCTCTGGACTTTAGGCTCCTCAATGGCTAAGATGGGGACAATAGGGCTGGAAGATGGCTCAGTGGTTAAGAGCACTGACTGCTCTTCCAGAGGTCCTGAGTTCAATTCCCAGCAACCACATGGTGACTCACAGCCATCTGTAATGAGATCTGGAATCCTGCGGTCATACATGGAAGGAATGCTGTCTACATAATAAATAAATAAATCTTTAAAATAAATAAATAAAATGGGGACAATAATAATTATAGTTTTCTCTGTTCCCAGGGGCCTGAGTACCAGTGACAGCCATGATGTAGCCCAGAAAAGCATGAGGCTCATAGAGTGTGAACACGCATAGTGGCCATGTTCCTCAGAACTTTGTGGCTCAGGGCCCCTCCTTAAGACCCTCCTAGCTGTGTCTCTGTCACTGCCACCTCCAAAGAGCAATGCAGGGCCAGCCTGGCATGTGCTGGTGATTCGTGTGGTCTTGGGTATATGGGACGTCCTGCGTGCTTAATAACTGTAGCTGTATTTTTTCCCCTGGCACATGACACCGCAGACCTGACTGTTATAGCTCCCCACCTGTTGTCCTGGGCCTGTGCTGTTGGCACAAGGTTTATGTGCCAGTTGAATCTGCCCCTGCAGACTTGGTTGCTGGGGGACTTAGGAAGCAGGTGCTAGACTCCAGCAGCCTCAGTGACTAGCAAATTGGGGACCATCTGCAGCCTTCTCAGGTAGCCTCTTATTCTATTAATCACACAGGCTCTCAGAGGACCCTCTGGTTAGCTGCATCTGGGGAGCAGTGGCCGCAGTTGACAGAGATGATGCCAGCTAATGCCTGCTCTACAGCCTACAGGGACACCCCTATGAACTGCTTTGGTTACAGCTATTGTAAAATGTCTGAAACTTGTTTGACGATCCCCCATCTAGCCAGATCCTCTCTGGGACATGCATGCTATCCTATACATCCCAGATAGATCTTTGGAACTCCCATTGCATAGTTTCCCAGGGGTAAAACTCTCATCAGAGCCAATGAATGGGAAACTTGCAGGTGGTAGCCTACAATCCTAAGGGCTGGCCTGAAACCTTGGTGTCACTAAGAAAAATGTTTTTGCTGTCCATTTACCTGGCCATTTGAGCATTTATGGAGCACCTACTGTATGTGAAGTGCTTTTGCTTTCTCAGGTCCTGTGTTAGTTAGGGTTTCTATTGCTATGATGAGACACCATGACCAAAAAGCTCTTCAGCATTGCTGTTCATCACTGAAGGAAGTCAGGACAGGGACCCAGACTGGGCAGGCTCTCAGAGACAGGAGCTGATGCAGAGGCTGTGGAGGGGAGCTGCTTCCTACCTTGCTTTCCCTGGCTTGCTCAGCCCACCTTCTTAAAAAGTACCGAGGACCAGCAGCCCAGGGATGGCACCACCCACCATGGGCTGGGGCCTCCCCGCTTTCTCACTGACTGAGAAAATGCTTTACAGCTAGATCTTGTTGAAGCATTTTCTCAACTGAGGCTCGCTCCTCTGAGGACTCCAACTTGTGTCAAGTTGACCCCAAAACCACCCAGTGCAGGCCCATACTACACTCCTTCCCCTGAAAGCAATTCCTGTGTCAGAGCTTTGAGTCTGGAAGTTGGCTGTACAGTGTGGGGCTGTGCTGTGCTCAGGTCCCTTTCTTCATATTCACGTCCTTCACCGACAGGGTTCCTCTCGCAAAGTGCTGGGACTCCAGGCATGCACCGCCATGTGTGCTTCACAGTCAGGTCTTTGTAAAGGAAGCGGTAAAGTGGAGGTTGGGCCACCTGATTGCAGGGTGACTCACCTCAGACATTGTCACAGTCTGAGGTTGGGGGTGAGGGCTTCACATGGAACTTAGGGGGGAGAGGAGGACCATACACAGTTCAGGTTTGGGGACAAGATAATATGAAAATCCCTCTCTTAGTGAACCCATATTTATGCAGTCAGGATTCAGCATAGGCTCTGGGAGCCTCTCCGAGCCACTGATAGACATGGGGAGGAGCCAACCCAGAGACTATCTAGACATGTGCAAAGGCCTCAGGACGAGGCTATTGAGGACAGATCAGGTTAGGCAAGGGAATCGGGGTAAGAGATAGGAAGTGAGGCAGTGAGCTGCTCACCCTTCAAGGAGGGCCTTGAAGGAGTAGTTTTGAATTTTAGTCTAAATTTAGTGGGGAACTCTATTATTTTTCATTTTTGTTTTAAGTGTATATGTATATGTGAACTTGAGTGTAAATATGAGTATGGTGTGCAGGAGACCAGAGAAGTAGTCAGATCCTCTGGAACTGGAGTTAAAGACAATCGTGAGCCACCGTGTGGGTGCTGAGAATCAAACCCAGTCAGTCAGTGCTCTTAACCGCTGAGTCACCTCTCCTGGCCAAGCAGGGAAACCCTCAAATCCTTGAATGTCAGAGAAGAGAAGTCTGGTCTAAGGGCGACTCACATCTGGTCTCTCATGTGGGAGGAGTGAGGCCCTCACCATTAGGGTGTCAACGGAGGTTGAGACAGGTCTCACTATGCAGTCCTGGATGACTTGGAACTCTCTGTGTAGATTAGGTAGGTCTTGAACTCACAAAAGATCCATTTTCTTGGTGCTGGGATTAACGGCATGTTCTACCATGCACACCATATCATAATAGTTTTTAATAAATGTTATATTAAGATGTTAAGTGTGGTAATGCACACCTGTAATCTCAGCACTTGGGAGGCTCAGGCAGGTGGATCACTGGGAGTTTGAGACAGAAAATCAAAAACCTTTATTGGGCGATAATTCAAATACGAACCATATGTCTGTTGGTTTGTGTCAACTGGTATTTGTTAATGTACTGTAGCCACCATAATTAACTTTAGGACATTCTTGTCTCCCCAAAGGAAACCCCAGACCCATTCACAAGCCCATATACACACTGCTCCTGTATTCCTTCTCTGTGGACTGTCCACTCTGAACTACCCATGTCAGCAATACATGGTATTTTCTGGCTTCTTTGAGTTTCGTATTCTCAAGGCTTGTCTGCACTGCAGCCACACTTCCTTCCATGACTGCATAATTCTTCATTGTGCTACAGTGTATTTTAGACTTAGAGTCTACTCACTCATGGGCCTGGGGACAGGTTGCTTCTGCTTGTTGGCTGTTTATTTTCGTTCTGCCCTCTAGTGGTCTGAAAGAAAAGATACAGTACTAATCCCAGCAGATGGGTGTGAATTTCTTGTTAAATGACTCCCCCTACTGGGTGCTTAGAGTCTAGCACACTTGGCCCTGTCTCCCCTCCTTACCTTGGTTCGAGCATCTCCCCAAGACTTCCTTTTACCCATTTATCCTGGGTAAATGGTAAGTGGCTCCTGGTGACATTTACCCCTATACCTCCCTGAGGGACTGAGCTGTGGATGGAGCTTGTATCAATGTGGTTCTGTCTTCTCAAACTCCCTGGCAGCCAAAGTCACTGTTGTCTACTCTGGAAGTGACTGGGTTCCTGGTCTTTTGTTTGGCCATACCCAGTGCTGATGCCACATTCTCCCCTCTTCCTGTCTTTGCCAGGTGTCAGTGGTTCAGGGAAGGAGTCAAAGCCAGTGGAGAATGGGATGCTGGTGCCAGTGGGGAAACACTCTCAGAGGTAAGCACGGGGAGGGTGTCTGACCCTGCGTTGCTTCTGGCCCTGTATCTCTGCCTGTGGGAACTCAGACGAGACAGGTAGCACCTCCACTCCATCCACCACAGTCTCAGGGATTTGGAAGACGTGCGCATCCTGCCTGATCTCCATCCTTCAAGAACCTTCTCAGGAAGGAGCCAGCACTGACCTATAATTCACACAGGCCTGCCTTTCATTTGTTTGTTCCTACTTCTGAAACTGATCTATGTCTTTCCTTGGGTACCTGGCATGTTGGGCTTTGTGAGCCAGTATATGTTCACGGACAGTCACAGTGGTCTGGGAGCTGGACACATTGTTGGCCTGAAGTCTACTGGTTTCCAATTCACTGCTGGCCTGCTCCCATCTCACAGCAAGCAGATGGAGACTCACCAGCTGGGCAGCTCTAGAGATACCCAGCTCAGATTTGAACCAGTGCTCTTTACTCTTTGGGGTCCCACCACCCAACTCAAATAAATACAGATGATTATTCTTTCTTAAGAATGCTCAGCCTTTGCTTGTTTCTAGCCAGCTTTTCTTAAATTATCTCATCTACCTTTTGTGTCTAGGCTTTTACCTTTCTCTATTTCTGTATATCTTTTATTTCTCTCTTATTCCATGTCTAGGTGGGTGTTTGGGTGACTGGTACCCTGGCATCCTCCTCTCCTCCTTTTTAATGTTCTCTGATCTTCCCAGATTTCTTATGTTTATTCTCTCTGCCTGCTGGCTCTGCCTATTCTTTCTCCTGCCCAACTATTGGCTGTTTAGCTCTTTGTTATACCAGTCAGGTGTTTAGACAGGCAAAGTAACATAGCTTCACAAAGTTAAACAAATGTTCCACAGCATAGAAAATGTAGCACATCTTCAATTCATATTCCACAACAGCAGGCTTGTGAATCCCAGGCTGGCCTTGGACTGAACAGATAACTAAGGATAACCTTGAATGTCTGGTCCTCACGTTTCTACCTCTTTGATGGGATCACAGCTTAGTTTATGCTGTGCTTTAGATGGAACCCAGAGCTTCATTCTACCAACTGAGCTACACCTCCACTCCCAGGTCATTTCTGTACACGAAAGATTGTTCCTCACACCTTCTGTCCATTGCTCTTCATAGGTACCTTAGTAGTCCCCATTCCTGACATATACATCTCTTCGCATGGAAACACATTCTTCTGGGGAGTGCCACAGGGCCCAAGTGTATATGTGTGTTCATGTGTGTGCTGGCACTCCCCAAGGCTTTGGCATCCTACCCTCCTTGACAACAGGCATCTCAGTGGCTCTTCTTCCCACAGTGGGGATGCTGGTCAGCAGCACAGCAGCACAGCCGAACTGCAGAAGGCTGGAGTCAAGGAGGAGACATGGAAGCTGATGGAAGCAGACAAAGCGCAGACAGGGCAGGTGAGTGAGGCACAGTGCAGAGTGCTTTGCTTGGCATATGGGAATGTGTGTATTTATCGGATGGCAAGTCTGCCAGGGCTCTATGTTTAGGTTCTATGTCAAAACCAGAGAGGTTAAGTGACTTTTCCTGGAGTTTGGATCTGAGCTACTGACTCCATGTTGGTACTCTAGTCTCTGCCTGTGCTTATTACTGCTTGGCCATGAGCAGCCTGGAGCATTGAATGGGACCTCCCAGGCTACAGCCATGCCTGGCTGCAACCATTTCTCCATCTTCTCATCACTTCTCCAAATGTGTTGAGCTCCCTCATATATCAGGGCCTTACACCTGTGGGTCATCCCCTCCCCTTCCTGGTTTCCATTCGCGTAGCTGGTAAACTCTTCAACCTCACTTCCTCAGGGAGAACCTCCCCTGGTACCTACCCACCTGGGCACTTGAATGGCATTCTGTGCCTCTTATGACTCTTCTCTGTTTATGTGTTTCTGTGGGTAATGATGGAGCATTAGGCTGTCCGAGTGCTTGCTGGAAGCTCTTGTGGGAGGCAGGAAGTCTGGCTTTGCTACTCCTGCCTGACATCATTAATGGGGCAGCAGGGTATCAAGGGTCTAGACCCAGGAGGGTGGGCTGGGCTTAAGATCACACAGGAGCTGCTTACCTCATGCTGGCACTCTACGGGTCCTAGGTGCAGCTGTCAGTGTACTGGGACTACATGAAGGCCATTGGCCTCTTCATCTCCTTCTTGAGTATCTTCCTCTTCCTATGCAACCATGTGTCTGCACTGGCCTCCAATTATTGGCTGAGCCTCTGGACAGATGACCACCCTACTATCAATGGGACTCAGGAGCACAGGACGTACCGACTGAGTGTCTATGGGGCCTTGGGCATCTTACAAGGTATGGCTGTGCTTACTTCATGTGTCCTTTCCTAACTGAGACCCCAAGACCTCATGGAATTTACAACCACTAACTGAGCCAGACGTACATGGACAAAATCTGCCACATGGTGAACTCTGAATGCTTGCTGAATTCATGCCCACCCCTTCCCCGCCCCAGTCAGCTCAAGAAGCTGATTGCTGGCTGAGTTGGCATCAAATGAAGCAGCCTAGCTCTGGAGTTCACTCTGAAGCTGTGCCAGGCAGTGTGTGATCTAGATGTGATCTAGATGCTCATAAAACTGCTTTGTACACACATGCCCTTTCCGTGTCCCTGATGCACTCATGTGGGTGGTTAAGTGAGTCTTTTTTGTGTGAGAGCTTTCCTGCGTCCAGGCATGCTGCCAGGAAGGCACTTAGTACTGGTTGTGGTTTTGAGTGTCACTGTCCCTATTATACAGGTGAGGTGACTCACATTGATTGACATGAGAGGCCCCCAGCTGAACAGGGTTGGCAGCGCCAACTTCAGTTTGCCTTCCCCTGTTCTTGGTGAATGATCCTCATATATAAGTCCCCAAAAGAAATCTGTGGCCCAGGGGGTGTTTGGAGGAGCCACAGATGTCTCTTGACCTCTGAGGTGGTTTTGGAACAAGCTGTCAGATGATCAGGTGTAGGATGCCTTGAGTTTCTCCATGTATAGCCTACTTCTGCCTGCCATAGAGCCAGAGACTGCAGCAGCCTTCATATTAGATTTTAGAGAGAGCAAAGAACAGAGAAGATGTTTCCGTGGGTTCACACAGAATCAGTATCTGCTACAAGAGCTGTGCTGTCTGGCACAGTAGCCTCCAATCATGGGAGGTGATTTGAATTTTAGTTCATTGAAGTTAAAAGAAAATTCATTTCTTCAGAAACTCAATCCCAGTGTGTAGTACACAGTGAGGGCTGGTTGTTGAGGGACCCAGTGCCGGCCAGCAGACCACACTTCTGTATCTTACGCTCACATCTCTGTTGCCATCCCAGGTGTCTCAGTATTTGGCTACTCCATGGCTGTGTCCATTGGGGGCATCTTTGCTTCCCGCCATCTCCACCTGGACCTGCTGCGTAATGTCCTGCGCTCGCCCATGAGCTTCTTTGAGCGCACACCCAGTGGGAACCTAGTAAACCGTTTCTCCAAGGAGCTGGA